TGGGTTGCGTGTAAGAGCATGCAGGGTAAGGGAAATGAGGAGGTTAAACAGCCTGAGGGACTGTGGGGGGATGGGAGGAGGGGGTGCAGAGTAGGGGTGGCTGCTGACATGCAAGCTGAACCCCCCAGGGAGGCCTGTCCCACAAACCTGCCACCCAGTGAATGACCTAGATTTTCTCACCTGAGTCTCAGGTAAAGGACTGAATGGCTGCTCTTTGGGAGTTTGTGTGTTTGTTTGTTTGCTTGTTTTTATTTATGGACTATATTAGCCTTCTCCCACAACAATGATGGTTAGTGCCAGGCTTACAGAGGTCATAGAATTTCAGAAAAAGGTCAGGTTCCTATCAACAACCAGGGACATCTTTAGGAAGCTGAAATGCTGGGAGTCACTGGAAGTTCATAGACTATAGACTTTTTAATTGGAAGAACCTCTGGAGAGATTTAACTCCACCTCCTCATTTTCTAATGAGGTTATTGAGCCTCAAGAAATAGTGATGGAGTGGCGTCTCGGGTGGGGTGAGGCAGAGGGAGCCTTGTAAGCCAGGCCATAGAGGAGGGAAGACATGAGACCTACTGGAGGATGGAGAGCAGATCAGTTGCCTAGCTATTCACAAGAGCTGTGTGTGTGTGTGTGTGTGTGTGTATGTGTGTGTGTGAGGAAGACTGTCCCTGAGCTAACATCTGTGCCAATCTTCCTCCATTTCATATGTGGGATGTCACCACAGCATGGATTGATGAGTGGTGCACAGCCTGGGATCCAAACCCTTGAACCCTAGGCCGCCGAAGCAGAGCATGGGAATTTAACCACTAGGCCACTGGGCTGGTCCGTCAGAAGATTTATTTTAACCTTGGGCAAAAGTGAATTATTCTAACAAAAGAAACCAAAATATTAATATGAACAAGATGTAAAACATTTAGATATCGCTCATGGTGGGGAAAAAAATATATGACATCAGGGAATTTCTTTAAGGGAGAAGGACAGAGAAGAAGAATTGCAATTTACTTGGAAGTGGGGCATTCCCAGTAGAAACTTAGAAAACAAAAGGATAGTGCTTCTTCCTTCTTTCCTCTTCCCTCCCGTCCCCCAATCTTTCTCCTCTTCCTCCTTGTCCGTTTCTCCAGTCTAAGCGACAACTCGAACTTCCACCCTTCCCCTTCGCAGTGTGCCTGGAAATGAGGGCTATTCCGGCAGGCAGTTTACCTGCTGTGCGTGGGTGTGGCCGCGCCAGGCGGAGGCTGGGAGGGTGGGACCCAGGGAGCTCGCTCCCCTGTTTTGCAATCTCCCCCACCCCAACAATCAGACATGTGGGTTAAGTGCTGTCTTTGTTAGAGAGAAATGAAAATACAACAATAAAAAGGAGCAATTTGAATTTTGAATTTTATATGGAAATGATCAGAAGTGTAAATACTGCCGATAGAAAACGTCATTGCTCAGAAAAGCTCACAAAAAGCTACAGAAATAGGCTCTGTTGTTATAGTAAAGGCAACTATAATTTTATTTTGGAACTCTTTCTGCCTCTTATTTCCTTAGAATTTCTAAGCAAATAACTAAAATTAAAAATTGGTCAGCCATGCCCCTAACCCCACCATTAAATCTTCTCAATATTATAACTTTCATTATTATCAGCATAATAATTCAGCAATGAATCAAGGAGAACCCAAACCCTGACGTTTGCTCTCAAAGCCTTTGTAGGCTCTAGAGGAGCGCTGAGATGATTTAATCCCTGGGAACAACCACGCTACTGAGAGAGATTTTGGCTCCTCAGTTCTGATGATGCGAAGTACTGAGAGAAGAACATTGTTTCGTGCTGGAAAATTGGGGTCCTTTCTTCCAATCAGAAGTATAAAGACTCTCGAGACACAGTGAAGCTTTAAAAGCTGGAAAAAACAGTAAAAATATATAAAGATTGTTTCCTTCAACTTCTCAAAAAGGTTCTGTCCCCTCTTACAGGCAGCTAATCGGCTCTGGAAATAACTTTACCTAAATGAGGGGGAACTTTCCTTAGTTAGGCGGGTTAGATATTTAAAGAAAAAGATTTTGAGTATTTAATGGAATTACTCCTTTGATCCAAACTGTAAGCAGGATGTGTTGACTTTCTAGCTCCAAAATATATGTCAAATCAGACTGTCTCTCTCTGTCTCTGATGCCACCACCTGGTCCAGCTCTCGTCTGCATCGGGTCTCCCTGTCCTGCCCCATCCGCTCTCACAGGACAGCCAAGTCATCGTCTTACAGTGTGAAAGACACCCCCTCCCCCACACCTTAAGCCCCCTGCTTACAGTCTCGCGATGAGAGAAGTTTGAGTTTTACTGCAACGCAGTCCCCAAGGGCTCCGCCCTCCCCAGCCCTCTGTTGCTTTCTCTCCAGCACTCTGCTATTTCTTTCATAAGACCTTATCACAGTTCGTAAATATTTTGTTCACTTATTTTTTTCTTGTGTCATCTTGCTTACCAAATTGTGTGGTTCATAAATTCTGGGATGTTTCTGTCTCATTCATCTTTGTTTCCTAGTGGCAAGCTCACCGACTAGCACATGGTGGACTTTGGCTCCAGTGTTTTTTTAACAACCAATTTCAAACATATAGTAAAGAGAATTTTACAACGAACACCTGAATACCTACCACCTAGTTTCTACTGTGCTTTCTTCATCACATATCTAGCCATCTCTCTGACAAATAAAAATGGCAAGTAATAGGATATATTGGAATATATGAGGAAGCCATTTGGTATAAACCTATTTCGGCCTGACCTTGTCTTTCCAAAAGGGCCTGACTGAGGCCGTGGAGCATGCATTGTATATCTGCTTTAGAGATTCCCTATGGCAAGAGCAAAGGCCCTTGAGATAAAGGTGCAACTTCTCTCCCCCTCCCAACGTTGGCATCTCCTTAAACATTAAGCATCTTTCTTTAGGCTGGGAACCGATTGCAGCGCTCATCTGTGACCGCCCAGCCCGAGGCAACACACCTGCCACCCCGCGGCGTTCACTGAGACAGCATACCTATCTGCCGTTTCCATCAATCGCTGTGCTGACAGAGCAGCCTCGTGACTATTGTAAAAGGGATATTTCAATCATATGTGAAACATACTCTTTGAGGGTGTATAACCACACTATATACCCCCACTTCTTTGGAGTGCTCTGTTCCTTTGTGGAAAGACTCTCCCGGGTTATAATCCTAAGATTTAAGCTCAGAATAAACTCACCCAAATTTTCATTTATAGATTGGTTATGGATTATTTTCGTTGACATCTCCATTCCTCTATCTAGCCATCAGTACATGGTTGGCTTTTAATACATTTGTTGAATGAATGAATAAACGAATGAATGTTATTCTTTTGGTCAATAGCTGGAAGCTGTCCATTCTGAGGTTGGCCCAATACAAATGCTGAGCTTCAGGAATAAGGACTAATTTCCTGCCTTCCAGGGGCCCATGCTCTACTAGCCAGAGGGCCTGAATATGTTAGTGTTGGAGGAAGAAAGAAGTAGAAAATGTGGACCAGTGACTTTTTTGGCACACACAATTTATTAATAAAGGCTCACCAATGTTATCTTGAAGTTAAAATTGCCTGATTTCTTGGCATTTTGTGTTTTTTCCTGCACAAGTAGAAAAGCAATTGTTGTCTTGGCCAATACCAGTGAAGGAACGTTTTATGATTCCTAGTTTAAGTGAGTGACAAATGCAAGCCCATTTGAACCATGAAACTTTTGGCTTTTCTTCTTTTAAAAGTTCTGTACAAGGGCTGGCCCGGTGGCGCAGCAGTTAAATTTGCACGTTCTGCTTCTCGGCGGCCCCGGGTTTGCCGGCCCTGATCCTGGGTGCAGACATGGCACCGCTGGGCAAGCTATGCTGTGGCGGGCATCCCACATATAAAGTAGAGGAAGATGGGCACAGATGTTAGCTCAGGGCCACGCTTCCTCAGCAAAAAGAGGAGGACTGGCAGTAGTTAGCTCAGGGCTAATCTTCCTCAAAAAAAAAAAAAAAAGTTCTGTACAAATCATTGAAATATGCAAATAATAGGAGCAAAGGAAAAGGATTTAAAAAGTGTTTCTAGTCTAGGCTAACCTTGGTCAAGGTAAAGAGCACCTTTGCTGAGGCTAGATTGACAGGGCAGGCAAGGCAGGTAGAGCTTTCGCCCTTCTGCACATGGATAGGTTATTTCCAAACTATGTTTGATTATATTTTTTGGACCCTGTATTTATTATTTTGATTGCTTAGAGGAAATGCTTACTTTGAAGTGACGTCCTGGGGCTGTGCTTTGCAATATCTTTTATTAAGCTTTACTGTGTCTATTCACATTTACTTTAATTCTTACTTTTAGAAGGAGGATTTCAAGGTCAACGCACTATCTCTGTGATTGAATTCCAAGAGTCCTTAGCAGGGGTCCGTGTATATAAGGGTGTGGAATCATTGTGAACTGAGAGTGCATGCAAGTTCATGCCTGAGACTCCTCTGTGAAAATATTTAAAAGTGAAAGAAAGCTTTCAAAATAGGCATATGGGTGGGCCTGAACAGCATAGAAATGGGTGAACATAGCACCCAGGCAAGGAGCAAAAGTGAATCTGGGACGTAGGCTTGTTGTTCCTCTCACCTCTGCCGTCTCCTCATACCCTCACCCCTTTTATTTGGTGGGGTTCTGCTTTCTAACGTGTTGGAGACCCCCACCCATCAACTTTCATTTGCTCACGTTGTCCTCCCATGGGCTTCCATGTGGCCAATATCCTGAGCTGGATTTGCTTCCCTGCCTTGCCACTAGCAGCTAAAGGACCTTGAACAAGAAATGTACCTGTTCCAAGTTCCAGGCTCCTTACCTGTAACTGGGAGACCTTAATACCTACTTCAACATGTAAAACGCGTCCACCATGGAGAGGACCCTTGAGAAATGTTAGTTTCACCCTACCGTTTTAAGATCAGTTGCTGCATTGGATTAGTAAGAAACGATAAGTTTGCAGAGAAATACAGATGTAAGCACTTAGGTATTTAGCACAACATGAGGAACAGGCAAATCTGGAGGTGGCTATTTTATTTATAAAATTAAACCTAACTTTATTTTGCAAAAATCAACGAATACATGTTCAGATGTGGTGTATCTTCAAAACATGTTTTTGTTTTTTAACAAACATGCAAGTTAATTTGGCATGCCAAACATCTTTGTCTCTAGCTGTCCTTGGAAATTTTTTTTTATAACACAAACAAGGGTGCAAATATTATCCCAAAACTATTTACATTTTTACCCTCCAGAATTACTAACATTAATATTTATTGAGAGGAAAGAAAAACTGCAAGGTTTGGTCTTTGACGTTCACATTTAATTCGGCAATATAATTAAAAACTCGTATTTGTTTTTAAGATAAACACTGAAGGAAATTTAATAAATCTTTCTTTTGCTCTGCAAAGGAGCCACTATATCAAAGCATTTAACTGGAGCTGTCGAGTTCCTGCTGGTAGAATATTACTTCCAGCCTATTTATTAGCTTTTCTTCCTGTAGCCCAATACCTGCTTCCCCCCCCCCCCCTCCACTGAGTGAAAGCACAGAAAGAAAGCAATTTCTTTTCTCTTTTTCCCCCAGCATCATGCAAGGCAAGACAGCATCACAAGTCACAATATCTGAATTTACTTTGATTATATTTTGTTTCTTACACTTAAAAATTATTTCGTATTATAATACTTACTGGGTTATCTAAAATCAACATTGTTGATTTTAGACTGTTATAAAGCCAGACTTTTAGAGGCATTTGAAACAATTCCTGAACCATGTCTGAAAGGAGATAATTGCCTCCAGCCTATTCTTTTGTACTTGAAGTAAAAGAAGTTTAGGTTTCACCAATTTACTAGAAAATAAGACTTTAGGGGCCCATATAATTTATTCACATCTTTTTACATTTTGTAAACAAGGATAGGATACTTCTGACAGTAGCCTATGAGCAAATTTTTAAAAATATCTCCCTCACTATAGAATAGGTACCAAGGGAGCATTTTAATTATGATTCTGGTAGTTCTCTTATGAGCCTACTTTCCAGAAAAAATTTTATATGAAATTTCCTGATTAAAAAGAAATCTAAAGTCATAGATTTAAGTTGAGAGAATACAGTAGGTGAGGTAAGGTCATTGCATTATCTATGGTCTGATGCACAATGTTGCATGTACAAAAGAACCTAAAGAGACATCTATCTCAAAGTTCAGGCAAGATATAAGAGTGCATAGACAAGAGAGAGCTTTTCAGATCAGATAGTGAAAGAAGACACAGTGTTCACCTAAATCAATACGTTGTAAGCAACATATACATGTGCAATGCCAATTCACAGAATGCAAACAAGATCAATTAGAAATTGTACTGTGATAGCCACACATTTTGGAGAAAAATTCCCAAGCCAGGCGGATGTGGATTGGGATAAAAACATAGGCAGTGTACACCACCATGGCAAAAATGGTTAGTAAGATGGTATTGAACATGGATTGCTCCCAAGGCTCCAAGACAGCACAGCAGCTAATGATTTGGTATTGATAGTAGAGCCAGGAGAAATAGTCCTTCACACGCCTGAAATCCATGGTTGGCTCCTTCAAGCTGCAGAAAGTCCGTCCTGTTAAAGAAGGTAATAGATTAGAAGAAAACTCAAATAAGGAACCAAAACAGAATCTCCTGAGATTTTCATGATCTCAGCATGTTAAAACCTTTCAAAAAATGCTAATGATCATTGACTGGATTATTAATATGAACATTACATAGAATTAATAAACAATGTACTAAGTATAGGGATTAATAATATTGCCACTACTACTAATAATTACTACTAGAATTAATAGCAACATTATTAATAAGAGTAATATTCATCTAAAAATGATAATTGCTAGTAATAACTCTAGTCATAATAATATCCAAAAATTGAGGCTGACCACATTTTCTTTAGCCATGTATACAGAGAGAGATAAAAGTGAATTTTCTATTTCATACCACATATATTCTGGAGGAAGATTTAAATCACGGTGTGCAGGAAAGTGTTAAATTAGCAAGCCTGAGGTTGCTCTCTTTAGAAGGGTCTGCCTGCAAGCTTGGCCCTTGGCTGGCATCTGGGAACTTGGCTTTTGGAATGCTCTCTCTATTCCCTAGTGGATAAGAGTGATTTACTACACCCAGACTGTGCAAACTCTGTAATTTATGGTGAACACCTGCTTTTTTCTAGGGGTTTGGAATTTTGGTAATTGCCAGACAAAGGGTGTCCACGTGACCAGTCCTAATAAACACCTTGGCGCCGAGTCTCTAATGGGTTTCCCTGGGCAGAAACATTGGACATGCATCACCGCACTTTTTGCTGGTAGAGAAAGAAGCACACGATGTGTCTACTCATGGGAGGGAGAGAGCATCGGAAGCCTGTGAATGGATTTCTTCAGACTCCACCTGGGTCTTTCTTGCTTGCTGATCCTCTTATATGTATATCCTTCTGCTGTAATAAGCCTCAGCTGTGAGTACAAATACATGTGGAGTCCTGGGAGTCTTTCTAGTGAGTCACTGAATATGTGGGTGATCTTGGGAACCTCCAAAACAAATGGGAAGCCCAAAGTGTACCTTTGGGTGGTCATTTGGTTTTTGGGTAGAGAACTTATGAAAACCACATAAAGATGTTTTGTTGGCCCTCAGATAGGACCACAGTTATAACTACATGTAAAATTTCCTAGAAGGAAGAGCATCTATCATTTCTTAAAAAGATTCTTGGGAAGATTTTGCGGACTTTCATGGACACGGCGGGTGTCCATGGAGAAACAAGCTGACCTGTGCGCGTTCTGCTTACTCCTCAGGCTACGTGGAGACCCAGGATCCTAATGCCTGGCACAAAGACAGTCATCAGTAAATAGCTGATAAACGAATGAGTAAATGAATGAATGACAAGTAACCAACTTAAATAATTATAGATCGGTCACTCAGAGTCCCAACCTAACTGGGATATGGTTAACTATTGTTGACTTTCAACAGTGTGCTTTGGTAATAAGTAACTCTTTCTGATAAGGATAATTTCCACAAAAACTTAAAATGGAAAGTCTTTGTGTTACCATGTTGCGATTTTCTGTAATAATGGCCAGGATAATCCAAAGAAGAAGTTAACACAAACTGAAGTGGTTTTCTTCTCTATGAAAAGTCAGCCCCCCTTCTTTCCTAGAAGCCAGAGTGAGAACTAAGTAATTAGATTTAAATGCTTTGTCTGGTAGGTGGACCTTGGTCAGAAGTTACCTCCAACATTCTTTTTCATTCCTAGCTCTGGTTGCAGAGAAAGAGCAAAGGCCAATAGGGTAAGGTCTTGGAAGAAATGAGTGACAGAAGGAGTGATAGTTTCAGTGAGTGATATTATCCAAGCAACTAAGATTTTCCACTGATAGGCCGAAACAGAGAAGAGTAAGAGTTATCACTATTTAAGCTTTTAGGCTGTCCCACTAGACAACTGTATATTTCAAACTAAACTTAATTTAAAAAATCTCAGTCATGGTTACCCACCCTTGCTTCCTCTTCATTACGTTGACAGGGTTTAGGGAGGCGCCAGGTAACTGATCAGGACCATGAGGGTCCATTCATCAGGTATCATTCCAGGTTGTGCTGGGTGAAGGTGGGAGAAAGACGGCTCAGACAGGCACAGACCCTCCCCTTAGGAAACTTGGTCCAGTTGGGGAGACAGTTAGCAATCAAATAATATGCACAAATGTATAATTATCAACTACATTGTGCCCTAAAGGAAAAAGCAGTATATAAGGCACTATAAGAAACCTGATCCAGTCTGAGCACGCCTCTGAGGAAGAGATATTTGAAACAAGATCCAAGGGATGATCTAAGTCAAACAGAGAAAAGGGGTAGTCAGGCGGGGAGAATGGCCAAGACAGAGGGGTCAGCTGTGTGTGCAAAGGTTAGAGGTGGGAGGGAGCCCAATAGGTGGTTGAAGGGGGCAGGGAAAGGAGCACAGAGATCTGGGGAAGGAGGCTGGGAGTATGTGAAAACTGAAGAGGAGGGGATGGCCAGAGTGAGGCCAAGCACTGAGGGCCGAGTTGGACAGGCTAAGGATTTTGTCTTTCTCTCGTGAATGAGGGGCCTCCAGAGGATTTTCACAGGGGAATGCTATGGGGGGTTTGAGAAGACGAGGCTCTAAGCTCACATGGACATGTCGCCTTTCCCACATTCTAAAGCCAAGCTGAAATGGTTTTGAATACCAATGTTTTCAGAAAATCTAGGCCTCTGCTCTCCCATGGGCGTTACTCAATCAGAATTAACCTGAAAATCTGTTTAAAATATTCCTAATAGTCTTCATTTTTATAAATGAGATGTTACCCATTTAGAAATAAATATCATTGACTTTTCCCCTATAAATTTTAGCTTTTAAAAATGCACTAATTAATTGCCTGGCCATTGCTTTCTCTTCCAAAGTCAAATGTCTGGCTTGAGCAGCCTCGTGGACACTCTGACTGCAGCCTCGTGAGAGACCTTGAGCCAGGGGCACCCAGCGAGGTTGTGCCCGGATTCCTGAGCCATAGAAACTGTGACATAATCAGTGTTCACTGTTTTAAGTGGTAAAACTCAATCAATCAATCAATCAATCAACCAATCAAGGAAACGACAGATCTAAAGCATATTTGGAAGGCGGATACCTGGTAAGACCATGGTTACATCGTGCTAGTAAGTTAAAGAACTAAGATTAAAACATTGTTTTCTTGCCAGTTTCTACAGTCCCCTGAATCACTTCCCAGCCTCTCCATCGCCAGCTCCGACATGTAAAAAGTGCTCTTATTGTCACACCTCACTTCAGTCTCAAGAAGTCTGAGTCAGTCAATAAAAAAGCATTGATTTCTCCCCTTTCTTTGATTCTTTTTTCCCTTATTGATGAAAAACAATATTAAAGATTGTTTAGTCATTGTTTCTTATTATCAAAAGGTGGGAAGAAAGAGAGTTGGTTATTACTGGTAAACCATCTGCTACAACCTATTGTTAGAATGTGCACTATATTTCGCTTCTGGATGTACTTAGGTAATATATTTCTACTTCCTTCTGAGTCCATTTTTAAATCTCCTATGGGACTACATGTAAGACTTTTTTCAAAAACCACTTTAGACAATTTAAGATGAGTAATGTGGATAGGAGAAGTCATTCATTCATTAAACAAATACATTTTGAGTGCTACTATGTGGTTTCTTCTGAATAGTAATGGCTTCAGAAGGAATCTATCCCAAAACGGCACTGCAGACAGGAGATGCTCTTCTAGGCAGCAGCAAACTGGACCATGTGACAAACTGCAGTGAACGAGGGGCCAGGAAGGAGCATTAACTGGGAAGAAAGGACGTGGGAAGGTGCTGGGAAGGAAGCTAGAAGAGACTGAATTTGGGGAACTAAGATGACAGAAATGCCGTGACATTATCTATAGGTGACCTAGAACCAGATGACGGCAAACATTTTAAAGTCTTAATTTTTCACAGTGAAATGTGAAATTAATTTGCATACTTCCTTAAAGACCTAATACCATTTCCCAGCAAAGCTAAACAGAGAACTTAAAATGTTTACTTTATTTAAGCACACCATGAATCTTTTTGTTTCATGTTATGTGTTTTTGAAAGATGATTTCTTGTATATGGAGGGAGTAGTCTGTTTCTTTTTAAAAAATTTTTCCCTCTAAACTTGATGATTTTTAAAACCCTCTTGGATATTTAACCAGGTTGTGCATTCAAAGGTGGCGTTGCCCAGGCAGACAGTGTTATGTTTCCAGGGGCACAGAGGCCTGGATGTAGGACTCTAACAGCTGAAGCTGTGTGGTGATACCCTCAGGTGAACGGGCAGGGCCTGGAGCCCCCGTGGGACACAGAGATTTGAAGCCCCCTGTTGGAAGCAGAGGGTGGAGCAGAGGTCAGCGCTGTTACCCGAAGAACCGGGCTGTGAAGCCTGAGGAAAGGCTTTCTCTGGACTATTGTTTTAAAGAAACTGATAAAGTCTCTTTCTTCTGGAAGACCAGTGTAGTACCACATTCTAGGATGCCTAATGGATTTGATTTTTCAGAGTTCTCTAATAATAACAACAAAACAATTTATGTTTTCCTAGGATTATTTGTAGTTTAGAAAGTGCTTTTATTGCATTTGTATAATGCACAGCATGATTCTGGGAATAAAGATAGACATTGGTTCAAGTCCTGAATCCTCCACTTACTGGCTGTGTGACCTTTGCCCAGTTACTTACTTGTTCTGGGCTTCAATTTCGTCACCTGTAAAACGGAGATAATAATCCCTACTGTTTAGGGTTGCTGTGAAGATTAGCAGAAATTGCTTGAGGATTAGCAAGCAAAGAATCAAGTCAAGGGATGGGAGGAGTAAATAGACAGGGACAGAAACTCTAACTAGAGAAGTCTTTCCTCCCTCCCTTTTATTTGTTGAAAATAATTATTCACATACTGGTAATTGCACCAGGAACTGGAGATTCCATAGGTGACTGAGAGAGTCATAGCCATTGCCCTCAAGGACTATAATTCAACTGAGTGTATTCCACCAATATATATTCTAGATAATATTTACCATATGTATTAGGTAGCTAAAGTGGAATCCTAGAATGTTAGTGGCTAGATGG